GACAGTTGAATGCTTCTACCACAGATGACACAACTGTCACTGTTAAAAGCTGGAGAACACAAAGCTAGAGCATGTAGGCTGCAAAACCACTGGCTCAGAATAGAAATACACAAATAATGTAAATAACATAGTAGTAGCTACTAAGTTACAGAAGATTTGGTTTCAGAAACTAGTAAGACAAATCCTGAAAAATAGATGTAAAAAGGTTTTTAAGAAGTAATCATATTTTCTAATTGTTAATTGTCAGAGTATTCTATAAGAGCTCAGAAAGCTATTCTATGTCAACCAAATCTCGGCCAACATTAAGCTAAATGCACAGACTAAATGTTAATTAGCCTTATCATTTTACTGTATGTATCTCACCAGACACTATAAGTGTGTCATTAGTGTGGAATACATCTGTATGAGTTACCTCCCTTCTGAACAGACAAACTGATTCTTCTACATTTAAAATATAGTATTTTAGACATAAAACATGCACATAATAAAACAGACCTAAAAAGTCTACACCAAGGTCCATTACAAAGTAAAATTAAATCAGTAGGTCTGTCTTTACTTCATGAAAATATTCACAACAATTTTTAAAAATTCAGAATCATTAAATTAAATTTTTTTCATAAAATAAGTTGATAAAATAATACTGGTTTCTTTTATGGAATAAGGATTGACCTACTGATCGTAAGTTTTTTTCCTCTGATGACCCTTGTCCGACACCGACAAGCTTTGACCAGTCCTGAACATCAGGAAAATCTAAGACCAAGACTATTTTAAATGAATCTATGTCTTTCTATGTTAAGCATGAAAAATATCTCTCTATTTCAAAGGGAGGCAACTTTTACCAATCTGACAAGTAAGGAGCAACCTTTCTACCATGTAACCATAAATAATATCATAATTTTAGAAATCAACATTTGTAAAATACAACAATGCTATTAAACAATATATTAAATACATATTGACATTTTCAATCATCATAAAATACAGTAAATTTTAAAACACAGAACCAACATTGATAAAGATAATAAGAAAAAAATAATTACAAAGAATACTAGAGTTGTCTCCCTTGTTGACAGGCCAAACTAAGGGATGAATGATAAATATAACACAGAAAAAGTCAATAATAATCTTATTTAAAGACAGAACAGGACACATGTTCAAGGGTGATGATTATACAAGGCACAATATTATAAAGCAAGCATCTCCATGTGTACCAAGTCAGAACAGCTGTTACAACATGTATTTGTTACACTCCAAAGAAATTCTAATGATTAGTAACTTTTAAAAATACAATAAACAGAACATCAATCTTAAAGCAGTAAAGATGGTTCTCACTTAAACAAGTCAATATCTGGGGCCACCAATCTGGTGTGATTTATAATTTCTTAATGACTGAAGTCAGTACACAGGGGGCGCTCACTAGGTAAATTTAACCAAAGTTTTAATATAGCTTCATTTCACACATAACAAACCGTAAATGCTATAAATCGTGATAGATATATATTTGTATCCAAATGGAATATTTCATTTAGTCACAGTAATGTTTAAAATTTGAATTAAATTAAATTAAATATGATGATTTCACAAATAATTTTTAACAAAATATTTAGCCGTGAAAAACTAAGACAGCACTTTATCTAAATTCTCTCTCTCTCTCTATATATATCCTGGTGCATTGACGTCAAATATTGATGGAAATGTATATATACTTTGATGTATAAGCTACCTAAGATAATAGAAAAAAATTAATATCATGATTCAAGGACATTTACTGCAGTGAAATACCAAACACTATCTGTGATTACATTTATGTTGCAACATTTTAAAATAAACTGCAATGGTGTCAAAAGTAATGTGTTACATATAATGTAACCATACCATGGAGACTTTAAACCTTGGTTATGGTAACATCCTATATTAGTATACCACTTCAAATACAGTTGTACAAATACATCACACTGAATATCAAATACTGACCAGTTTTACTACATATTAAATACTTTGTTTCCTTTTAGTCTGAATCTGCTGATGTATGATACTGAAATATTGAATTTTCCTGATGGTATTAAGAGGACATCAGGTAAGCTGGACTTTACAAGGTTCACACTCCCACTCCCAAATGTCATGTTATTTCTTTTTTTTTTTTGTTAATAATTTTAAAGTGTATCTACCATGCATTCTTTGCTAAAAAAACCACAATGGAAAATATTGTTAAGAAGATCCCTTAGAGTCTTTTGGAGTAATTTAATGCTAAGCTTTTTGTTTAAAAAAATACTATTAAAATATCAATATTTAAAAAAAAATATTCTCTCTGCCTCCACTTCAAGATCTTCAACATGACACATGGTACTGAAAAACAAACCTGATGATACCAAAGTAACAACAGGCTTTATCAGTACATAGCTCAACGGAAGTCGAGTTATTATTGCACATAGCTGAACGATGCATGATTAAACAACAGTAGTATTGTTACTGCAAATCAATTAACAACAGTCATGTTGTTACTGTACATTGAGAAACAACAGTCATGTTGTTACTGTACATTGAGAAACAACAGTCATGTGGTTACTGTACATTGAGAAACAACAGTCATGTTGTTACTGTACATAAACAAGTCATGTTGTTACTGTATATAAACAACAGCCATGTTGTTACTGTACATTGAGAAACAACAGCCATGTTGTTACTGTACATTGAGAAACAACAGCCATGTTGTTACTGTACATTGAGAAACAACAGCCATGTTGTTACTGTACATTGAGAAACAACAGCCATGTTGTTACTGTACATTGAGAAACAACAGCCATGTTGTTACTGTACATTGAGAGACAACAGTCATGTTGTTACTGTACATTGAGAAACAACAGCCATGTTGTTACTGTACATTGAGAAACAACAGTCATGTTGTTACTGTACATTGAGAAACAACAGCCATGTTGTTACTGTACATTGAGAAACAACAGTCATGTTGTTACTGTACATTGAGAAACAAGTCATGTTGTTACTGTACATTGAGAAACAACAGCCATGTTGTTACTGTACATTGAGAAACAACAGTCATGTTGTTACTGTACATTGAGAAACAACAGTCATGTTGTTACTGTACATTGAGAAACAACAGTCATGTTGTTACTGTACATAAACAAGTCATGTTGTTACTGTATATAAACAACAGCCATGTTGTTACTGTACATTGAGAAACAACAGTCATGTTGTTACTGTACATTGAGAAACAACAGCCATGTTGTTACTGTACATTGAGAAACAACAGCCATGTTGTTACTGTACATTGAGAAACAACAGTCATGTTGTTACTGTACATTGAGAAACAACAGTCATGTTGTTACTGTACATTGAGAAACAAGTCATGTTGTTACTGTACATTGAGAAACAACAGTCATGTTGTTACTGTACATTGAGAAACAACAGTCATGTTGGTCCTGTACATAAACAAGTCATGTTGTTACTGTACATAAACAAGTCATGTTGTTACTGTATATAAACAACAGTCGTGTCATTGCACATAAACAACTGTCGTGTTGCTATATAACAATTAAATCAAACATTAAAATCTACTGAAGTATATCATCATTAATTTCAATGTATGGACAAAGTTCAAGTCAGTTGTGTCTACAAATTCAAGAAAACACAATACAGTTTTCTGATTTTTCCATCAGATATATAAGATGTTTCAATCACTTTTACTTTACTTAAATATAAATTAAGATATCTTGTATATGAAATTGTTTTTAAATTTTTATAAAAGTCATAGGATCAAAGGTTATCAATAAGAGAGTACAAGTACATGGAAAAGGTTTCCATAAAGAAAAAAAAAAAGAAAAAGATTTCATTTTTTTTTAAATTGAAGAAATATTATAGACAAAAAAATCCCCAAACCATGAAGATGTTCGTCTGTACTGTAAAAAGTCTGCAATGCTATCTAAAATTGTGGATGAAATTGCTACCAATTCCAAGGCTGATCAATATACTGAAGAAAACTACAACCACTGAATATCATAACAATGTATAAATTCCATACAAATCAAAACCCTTAATGAATATGATGAAAAAAACATTTAAAATTGTTAATGTTTCTGAAACCAGAAATAGAGTAAAATTGTCTTGATTTGTATCCCACCTGAAATACTTCAGTTGATAAAAATTCTGATTGATTTTAAAGTGTGATATGATCCCATTGTGATATGATCCCTTGTACAACAGTCCAGGTCAATGAACCAGTATCATTTTAAACCTTTCTGAAATGAAAAGTTACCCTAACAGTGCTTGATTTCAACACCTTTGTTGAAAAAGATATTACATTTGCATCAATGAACACAGACACTTGTTCTAAAAATAGTACACTATTAAAGATGAACACTTTTGCTCAATAGCTAAAAATAGTATGAAGTAAAAATACATTTTAAGAAATTAATGTCTTTTGATGATCATGGCTTCATGTCCAAGATGAGATCATAATATCAAACACAGATAGGTTTGTGAATATCTGTTATCTGTTTAAGAGCAGGTAACATATAGTTTGTTCTCCAGTTCTGACCTGCCACAATCAAACTAAATCTGTATGACGAACACTAAGGAGTAATCTCCCTTACATTCTGGAACTCTTCAACAGGTGGATCAATCTTTGTCCCTTGAATGTTTAAACCTTGAAGGGAGCTAACTCCAACAATGACCACAGATACCAAGGGAGATAAGAGCTGATCTGTAAAGTAAGTCAAATAATGTTTTTGGCCATTTATTACTGTTTCATATCATCTTTCTTCTCACCAAATCATTTACTAGTTGATCAAATAAATTCACTCTTGTGATGTGGAAATTTGTCCAACATTTAAACATGACATAATTCAGAACTCACATTCCTTTTTAACTTTGCCATTTAAAGATGGCCATGAAGTACATGCAACCGTGACTTAAAAACTGTGGATTGATCTTAACTGCAACAGTCAATTGATTTAGGGACACAATTGCAGATTGTGACTATTGTTTCAATTCCATTCAGCTCCAGGTTTCTTGCCAACTAACAAATACGTTTTCATGTCTCCCTTTCCCTTTACTGGAATTGTACCACGATACTCAAAATCATACATCTCTCCCAGGAGGTTGGCTGTGGCCTCAGGGACCTGAATTCTATCCTTGACACCAGTTGAGTACATACGACTGGCAATATTCACCGTGTCACCCCAAATGTCATACAACAGTTTGGTTGTACCAATGACACCTGCAGTCACTTCACCAAAGTTATACCCAATGTTTAATTCAAATGCAAAGTTAAATATGCTCTCATTAAATCTCTGCACAACTCCCTGCATTTCGACAGAAAAGTCCATAAGCTCAAATAGATGTGCATATGGGTGTTTGTTTTTTGCCCGATTAGATTCATTCAGTCCTGAGGCGGCCATGAATGTACTTGTGATAGTCTTGATTTTTTCTACGTCTTTGAATCTGTATTCGTCAAGAAGGTCCTCGTAGTCACTGACAAGTTCGTTAAGTACACGTAAATACTCCTTCCCTCCTTGGTATGCCTCATCGTAAAATTCGTTGAAGTTGACTAGTGTTGCAAATATAACACCAACATGCTTATGATTTTTGGAGTACTTTGTCACACCCATTTTATTGATCTGTTTCGATACATGCTCTGGTATGATATTATGTAACAGCCAATCAGCTTGATCCATAGTTCGCTGCATCTGTTGTTTGTTGGCAGAAGCCTGAGCATCTCCGTTAAAACTCAACCTGTAGTTGATTTCAAATTCACGATTCAGGAACCAGACCAAAAACAGAAGTAAGACCATGTCTAGTATAATCTCATATTGCAGTTGGTGACTTCCGGAGAACAAGTAGTCAAAGCGAGTGACATTTGACATCACAGTTTGCACATCGTAGTTGGTGGAGATATTTGTGGCGTTCCAAACGACTGGGACATCTTTTGCAATTGAGGTAAACGTACAAATGTTTACACTCAGTAGAACTATCAACACAACTCCTGCCAGTGCGGCAAGGATTGACTTCATCCAGGAGCTGAGCATCGTGAAATTGCAGTAATGAAGTAATGCAACCATGATGCTGTAAGAGAAAAATCGGTCTTGCCATATGCTTTGGGTCAGTATTCCACATGAAATATTTGAGTACACTGCAATTACCGGGATACTAGCAACAATTGCTCCGAGGAAGTTACGGAAATACCATCTGGATATGAAATCTACAAAGTTTTTGCAAGAGTCCATTTTATTTTTTCTACATTTGACATCTGTGACTGCATGGATAAGTACCAAAATCTCCAGGACTAAAGATACCAGGAAAACTAGTATCCATGGTAACTCACGGTCAAACATAATAAATGCACAAATTGAAATTACAGTGAAGACAATGAAGGATATGACGATCTCGACAAGGGCATGGTAGCGTGGAGATGATAGTGTGTTCTCTCTCTGATTGTCTTGAATGTAGTGGTCGCGGTAATCCTCCTCCAGTGTAGGGCTCTGGAAACTCAGAGTAAGTTTAGATATGGGGGGCTTGTAGAAGAACTCTTTGTTCTTTACATCCTCCTTCATACACTTCAGGATGTAAAGGTCATTCTGCGCACTATCATCCAGATTGTGGTGCATCAGGGTGTCGTTGATGGGGCTGTTAACATCTGGAATGACAAAAACTCAATTTCAAATTTCCGATTTAATTTTATCATTACATGTGCATTACAAACCTACCGAAGCGTATTCCGGCCACATTGTGTTTTATTTTATTTGGAAATTTCGAGATAGCAACTCAAAATTTTGAGTTACTAACTCGAAATTTTCGAGTAAGTAATTTGAGAATTCAAGATATTAAGCCGAAATTTCGAGATAGCAACTCGAAATTTTGAGATAGCAACTCGAAATTTCTAGTCAGTAATCCGAAATTTTGAGTAAGTAAGTCGAACCCAAAATTGGGAGATAACAACTCGAAATTTCAACTTACTTATTTCGAGTTCAAATAAAACACAACATGGCCGGAATACACCTCCGTAAAAACCAGTGTTTACATGAAAATAAAACAATACAATTTTAAAATACTTCAGTATGGGTTGATGGGAAGGTAAGTAGAGTTGACCAACAGATGTACAGATAGGGTGAGAGGGTAGTATGTAGGTATAAGGTAAGTAGTGAGGACCAACAGATGTACAGATAGGGTGAGAGGGTAGTATGTAGGTATAAGGTAAGTAGTGAGGACCAACAGATGTACAGATAGGGTGAGAGGGTAGTATGTAGGTATAAGGTAAGTAGTGAGGACCAACAGATGTACAGATAGGGTGAGAGGGTAGTATGTAGGTATAAGGTAAGTAGGGAGGACCAACAGATGTACAGATAGGGTGAGTGGGTAGTATGTAGGTATAAGGTAAGTAGTGAGGACCATAGGCATAGACGTAGACTTAGAAGCATTAGTACTTTGGCAGGAAAGTACAGATGCTTAGATAGGAGAAGGAATTATTATAACTATTTTAAAGACATTTTAAAACGTACATTTTATAATATTAACATTGCTATTTAAGCTCACCTGGTTTTAACATGATCTGTTCAGAAGAAGTGGCATTATAATGAACGGTACAACACAAAATTTAGATTACGAATCCTGCTCCTCCCTATCAAGTATGTCTCAGCTATTTAAAGGAGAAGCATTTTAAAGCAAGTCTAATTATTTAACCATAAATTCATCTCTGACCGCAATCAACTTCATAGATATAAAATGTGATCGCCTTTCTGATTTTTAACTATTCTGTTGAAGTCCTTCAAGGCATTTAGGAGTGGAAGTCTATTAAAGCAAAATCCAACTTTTAACCCTAATCAGGTCAAATCCATCCATTGGAGTGGTACCAACTTCATTTCCACAAAATATGATTGCTCTTCCTTAAGGATGTTTAAGACCAAATTTGGTTAAAATCTACCCACAACTCAGGAGGAGTAGTGTTTTAAATGAAGAAGTTGATGGATGAATAAGTAAACGAACAATGAACAGACAGATGCCCCTCCATTGCATAAGTTCATCAGTCCTTCGGGCCAGGTCAGTTAAAACTGACAAAGTCCATAACACTGTACAATGTATAGACAAGGTATACATCATCTTTCAGATATAGGTGAGCTCATACAAGTAACATTTCAGGTAGATGTGATGTAGAGAGGGTTAGCTCCCTTTAAAGCATCGCCATTCTTAACCTGACTATCATCAATAATAATACAGTCTCAATAATCAGTCAATACCAAGTAGACATTTAGAGCAAAAGTATCTTGTGGCAGAATAATGTACGATCATCCCATGTAAAAACAAGAGGCCCAAAGGCCTTCACGGTCATCTGACAAAAACAAAAACGTTCTGCAGGGAGAATGGTTATTGTTTCTACTGTGAAAGAAATCTTACTAACAAGCTGTTTTCCATTATGCAGATGGTAGTTTTGGTGAGGAGTAGGTAACTGTAACAAGTGTTACCTATTATTTGACAGTAAAGATGGGAGCCCAATCCCACTGATGAAACTTGAGAAGAAGTTTGAATTAGGTTTTACTATGATTGTGCATTTGAGAGGTGGTATTTTACTTTGATTTTAATAAACTTAAAAAGGTAGGCCATGTTGACCAACAAAATGATGCAGAGTCAGATAAGGTACATGTATAGGTATACAAAGAGCTTCTGTTTCTAAATAGGTACAGGTATAAATGAATTAGTTAAGTCTAAGTGGTTACTATTAAGTAAGTCTAAGTGGCTACTATTAAGTAAGTCTAAGTGGCTACTATTAAGTAAGTCTAAGTGGCTACTATTAAGTAAGTCTAAGTGGTTACTATTAAGTAAGTTGAAGTGGTTACTATTAAGTAAGTTGAAGTGGTTACTATTAAGTAAGTTGAAGTGGTTACTATTAAGTAAGTCTAAGTGGTTACTATTAAGTAAGTCTAAGTGGTTACTATTAAGTAAGTTGAAGTGGTTACTATTAAGTAAGTCTAAGTGGTTACTATTAAGTAAGTTGAAGTGGTTACTATTAAGTAAGTCTAAGTGGCTACTATTAAGTAATTAAGTGGTTACTATTAAGTAGAAGTGGTTACTATTAAGTAAGTCTAAGTGGTTACTATTAAGTAAGTCTAAGTGGTTACTATTAAGTAAGTTGAAGTGGTTACTATTAAGTAAGTTGAAGTGGTTACTTTTAAGTAAGTTGAAGTGGTTACTATTAAGTAAGTTGAAGTGGTTACTATTAAGTAAGTTGAAGTGGTTACTATTAAGTAAGTTGAAGTGGTTACTATTAAGTAAGTCTAAGTGGTTACTATTAAGAAAGTTGAAGTGGTTACTTTTAAGTAAGTCTGAAGTGGTTACTATTAAGTAAGTTGAAGTGGTTACTATTAAGTAAGTCTAAGTGTTTACTATTAAGTAAGTTGAAGTGGTTACTATTAAGTAAGTTGAAGTGGTTACTATTAAGTAAGTCTAAGTGGTTACTATTAAGTAAGTTGAAGTGGTTACTATTAAGTAAGTTGAAGTGGTTACTATTAAGTAAGTGGAAGTGGATACTATTAAGTAAGTAGAAGTGGTTACTATTAAGTAAGTACTATTAAGTAAGTGGTTACTATTAAGTAAGTTAAGTGGTTACTATTAAGTAAGTTGAAGTGGTTACTATTAAATAAGTCTAAGTGGTTACTATTAAGTAAGTTGAAGTGGTTACTATTAAGTAAGTCTAAGTGGTTACTGTTAAGTAAGTTGAAGTTACTATTAAGTAAGTTGAAGTGGTTACTATTAAGTAAGTTGAAGTGGTTACTATTAAGTAAGTTGAAGTGGTTACTATTAAGTAAGTTGAAGTGGTTACTATTAAGTAAGTTGAAGTGGTTACTATTAAGTAAGTTGAAGTGGCTACTATTAAGTAAGTTGAAGTGGTTACTATTAAGTAAGATGAAGTGGTTACTATTAAGTAAGTCTAAGTGGTTACTATTAAGTAAGTTGAAGTGGTTACTATTAAGTAAGTCTAAGTGGCTACTATTAAGTAAGTTGAAGTGGTTACTATTAAGTAAGTTGAAGTTACTTTTAAGTAAGTTGAAGTGGTTACTATTAAGTAAGTTGAAGTGGTTACTATTAAGTAAGTTGAAGTGGTTACTATTAAGTAAGTTGAAGTGGTTACTATTAAGTAAGTTGAAGTGGTTACTATTAAGTAAGTTGAAGTGGTTACTATTAAGTAAGCCTAAGTGGTTACTATTAAGTAAGTTGAAGTGGTTACTATTAAGTAAGTTGAAGTGGTTACTATTAGTAAGTGAAGTGGTTACTATTAAGTAAGAAGTGGTTACTATTAAGTAAGTTGAAGTGGTTACTATTAAGTAAGTACTATTAAGTAAGTTGAAGTGGTTACTATTAAGTAAGTTGAAGTGGTTACTATTAAGTAAGTTGAAGTGGTTACTATTAAGTAAGTTGAAGTGGTTACTATTAAGTAAGTTACTATTAAGTAAGTCTAAGTGGTTACTATTAAGTAAGTTGAAGTGGTTACTATTAAGAAAGTTTAAGTGGTTACTATTAACTAAGTCTAAGTGGTTACTATTAAGTAAGTTGAAGTGGTTACTATTAAGTAAGTTGAAGTGGTTACTATTAAGTAAGTTGAAGTGGTTACTATTAAGTAAGTCGAAGTGGTTACTTTTAAGTAAGTTGAAGTGGTTACTATTAAGTAAGTTGAAGTGGTTACTATTAGTGGTTACTAGTAAGTCTAAGTGGCTACTATTAAGTAAGTTGAAGTGGTTACTATTTAAGTAAGTACTTTTAAGTAAGTTGAAGTGGTTACTATTAAGTAAGTCTAAGTGGTTACTATTAAGTAAGTCTAAGTGGTTACTATTAAGTAAGTCTAAGTGGTTACTATTAAGTAAGTTGAAGTGGTTACTATTAAGAAAGTTGAAGTGGTTACTTTTAAGTAAGTCTAAGTGGTTACTATTAAGTTACTATTAAGTAAGTCTAAGTGGTTACTATTAAGTAAGTCTAAGTGGTTACTATTAAGTAAGTCTAAGTGGTTACTATTAAGTAAGTTGAAGTGGTTACTATTAAGTAAGTCTAAGTGGTTACTATTAAGTAAGTTGAAGTGGTTACTATTAAGTAAGTCTAAGTGGTTACTATTAAGTAAGTTGAAGTGGTTACTATTAAGTAAGTTGAAGTGGTTACTATTAAGTAAGTTGAATTAAGTAAGTTGAAGTGGTTACTATTAAGTAAGCCTAAGTGGTTACTATTAAGTAAGTTGAAGTGGTTACTATTAAGTAAGTTGAAGTGGTTACTATTAAATAAGTCTAAGTGGTTACTATTAAGTAAGTTGAAGTTACTTTTAAGTAAGTTGAAGTGGTTACTATTAAGTAAGTTGAAGTGGTTACTATTAAGTAAGTCTAAGTGGTTACTATTAAGTAAGTTGAAGTGGTTACTATTAAGTAAGTCTAAGTGGTAACTATTAAGTAAGTTGAAGTGGTTACTATTAAGTAAGTCTAAGTGGTTACTATTAAGTAAGTCTAAGTGGTTACTATTAAGTAAGTCTAAGTGGTTACTATTAAGTAAGTCTAAGTGGTTACTATTAAGTAAGTTGAAGTGGTTACTATTAAGTAAGTTGAAGTGGTTACTATTAAGTAAGTCTAAGTGGTTACTATTAAGTAAGTTTAAGTGGTTACAATT